CCATTCGACTGTAAGAAGGGAATAGGATGATTCAATTTTTACAGACGGACATTACGGTATACGGCATACAGTTACGGCCAATTTAAACGCTCCCTTACTCGACCCTCCACATGTCATTTAAAATTTTCCGGCCGCCCACTCCTTCCGTCCTTCCGGAGATATTAAAATAGAGTACTTTCAAAATTCAATGATAGATTTTATGATCCCACTGTATTTCTATAAATTTCAATCATACATCGCGAACCATTCAAAAATTATTTAGGTGACCCAGAACTTTTGGCGGGCACTGTATATAAGTTTTTACTATATAAACCTAAAATATATTATAATTTAGGAAAACGGTTTAGTTATTGTTGATAATAAGGAAAATGAAGATGAGGATAACGAAAATATTGAAAATGGATTATGTCATAAAAAGAAGGTATTAGTCAGTACAGAAGCTGCAGAATTATTAGAAACAGCTGGTAAAGGTTCACTAGGTATATAATTAATCAAGAAGTCAAGCATTTTTATTATTAATGAAACAAAATTTTATGGTGTATATACTTTTTAGATATTCGACTGAGGAAATTTGCTTCTGAAAAAAAGGAATTGCAAGATGAGATTCGTCATTTAAGATTGGAATTAGAAGAAACTAGAAATCGCATGAGACCCGAAAAATCATCTGGTTCGATATTAGGTTAATATTTACATATTTTTATTTATACAAGCATCTAAATTATATATATATATATATCTTGATGAAAAAATTTTCTTAAAATTATTTTATATTTTTATGAATTTATCACATAAAATTCATGAAATTTTTTTCCAGATTTTGTAAGTTTTCTTTAGAAATCATAGAATGAGAAATCTAGATCAATTCTAGAAATGTAAACTTTCATGTAGAAAAAACATTTTGAAAAAATATTCCAATTCTTATTAAAAAATATGAGAAATTTTCTAAAAAGAATAATTAAAAATTCTCGAAAATTTGAAATTTACGTAAAAATTTTAAAGAATTATATAAAGAATCGTAAGGAAAATTTTCACCGGGATAGTTATTGATATATATTTTATGAATGTTATAATATTATTTTATTCGTATTAATTGATGTATTTGTTGTTGTAGGTTTATCAGATAACGAAGATATTCAACGTGAAGCAAATAAATTATTGGCCGATTATAAATTTAAATTACAAAAAGCGGAACAAGATATGTCTACACTGCAAGCAACAGTAGCTAGACTAGAAAGTCAAGTAATTCGTTACAAATCAGCTGCAGAAGCATCTGAAAAAGCAGAAGATGAGTTGAAAGTAGAAAAAAGAAAGTTGCAGAGAGAAGTATGAATATTGATTTTTATTACAAACAAATGATCTGTATACATAAACATATATCAAAACAATTTAGAAAATTACAGATATTTATGTTCATTTAATATTTTTATACTTAGGTAAGAGAAACACAAAGTCGTGTAGAGGAATTGGAGACAGCAAATTCTCATCTACAAAGGAGATTGGATAAACTTAAAAACGCTAAATCAGCTCTTCTAAAAGAGCTTTGACAAGTTAATGTTTGCAGAGATGTACAATAAGTCTGTTACTTATACTTTGAACAAATCGTAACCCGATGTTGCCTCCAATTAATATTATTTATCACTTTGAATATAATTTACAAAGGCAAAAATTACGTATTATCGTTATAACATTTCATTATGTAGCGGATGTCATCCAGACATAAAAAATTGCTGTGGAAAAGATTCCTACCTCTTACATTTACTAAGTCTTTGATACCAACTTATTTTTGCATTATTTTTTAATGGACTAATAAGGCACTTTTTACTATTTTTTAAATTTGACGTTAAATTTTTCTATATATTTATAAAGAGTTACAGAGCTGATTCAATATTTGATACTTTCATGTAAGTAGCAAGTAATAAAATATATTCGTTTCTGTCTTGTTGTAATAAGTTTGTGAAAATTATTTTAAATTAATAATATATATTAAAAAGTACAAAATATATATATTTATATATTGCGATGGAGATGGTGTAGGTGTCAAATATTTTTTACCATGTTAAAGGAAGATGTTAAGATAGGCCAATTTGACCTAGAAGTGAGACCTAGATTGATATGTTGGAAACTATGACTACGTTTACATCATACATTTAGGCCGCGGCCATAGAGTATAGAGAATAGGAGACCGAACTTACATAGACGAGACCATCAAAAAGCGTAAAAAGTAATTATCTAAATTAGTTCAATCGAGATGTCGCTTTCGTTCCACGACACTAGGAGGTCGATTCTGTATTTTTAAACGAGGTGAAAATTACAAAAGTGAGCAAATTTACTAAGTATTGACCAATGAAATTATCAGTGTATCTTGTAAATTCATTCACTTGTAATTTTCACTTCGTTTCAAGATACAGATTTCCCTAGAGTTCCTTTAGTAAGAGCTAAGACATAAGAGCGGAAGGACGCCATTGCCGGATGTCGGGTACCGACTGGAAACAGCACAATTTGACAGTTGATAGCCCGATTTCCCATTTGCACCTTCTACATCATGAAACAGTTGCTCACACTAATTCATTACCTCATTGAAATCTGCAAATGGCGGCGTTTAAAGGAACTCGAAATCTGACCAATTAGAAATCGGTATCACTTATGACTTGACTCCTTACTAGAAAAACTCTAACGACATCGTTCTCACTGTTTGCATGGTAGATCATATCAATTTTATATGAAAAATGCTCCATTCTTCATGCAATTTTAATGCATTTTATATCTTCCTGTTAGGATGACCTACAAAAAACAGACAGTAAGGGTCCCATAAAACGAAAATTGACAACGAAACGGAACTCGCGGAATCAACACGACGAATCACAGTCGTTTTTTTTTCTTAAGCTTTTCCTAAATCCTTTATGTCTCATTAAGCGGAATAATATAAAATCATACTTTTTATATTATTTACAATACTTGTAATAATAAAAATAATATTTGAATGTACAATAAATATAATAATGTATTGGGTCATCTAAAAAGTATCCGCGGTTTTTTGTCACTAGATGTGTGTTGATGGTCATATAGCTAGTGACAAAGTACCGCGGATACTTTTTAGATGACCCAATATATAACAAACTGGTAAACATTAAAACTTCTTCTTTAGCAGTAAAATATTTTTAACGTAATCGTCCATTTTTCAAAGCTGGAGATGATAAACCGATATTTGGTTCATATAATCGTGCTCTACATACACTGTTATAGATAACCAAATTATCGATTTATCATCTCCAGTTTCGAAAAATGAACGATGTACCCTAAGAAAAGTGAACGTTGCTATGTAGTTTACATTCACTTTGTCAGAGGGCAGCAGTGCGCGGCAGTATGTGGCTACGGCCGATATTCATAGTCGAAGAATCTTATTTCAAGACCGTCTTAAATAATGCTAAGACGCTAATGCAGCCTTTTGATTGGTTCATGACTTCTTTAGACCGTACTTAAGACGGTTTTGAATATAAGAAGGGACTATAGCCGGAATCATAGTTCTGTCTTAATCTCAAGCAATGTCTTAAGATGCTAATACGGCTCTCTAATTGGTTCATACACCAGCTTAAGACCATCTCGAATCTTGAGCACCGTCTATGGATTCCGCCTTACGAATACCAGCCTACGTTGTGGCTGCTGTGCCCAATATGATGCCAAGCGTGTCTGGGCGCCGGCGATGACTAACGGCAAAGGACAATTGGCGGGAAATCGTTAAGTTTGCAAAGAAATGTTACTCATTGATTTTTACTCATATACCATAAGGTGTAATATAAATTCAAATGAATATTTAGAACGTACAAATTAAAAGAATAGAGATTGCGTGCGTATGATGGCTCGAATATCGCATTACTAGATTAGAATATGAGAAACTAAGAAAATCTACAATATAAACATTTATCTGACGACGCGAGCAATTATCCAATGACAGCAGTCGATCTCGCAATGAACATAAAGGGATGATTAATCTTACCGAACACTAACTTAAAATCTATCGCTGAAGCTTACAAAAGGTCCTCACGCAGAATGCCTTGACACCAGAGAGAGAGAGAGGGGGGTGGGGGAAGAGGAAAATCGGAAAAAAGAATTAACTTGAGCGCCGCAACTAACGCTTGCAATAGAAATTTAGAGGGAAGTATTACATGTATTATCCATTTGATGAAATGTTGTGTGAGAAACCTCAAAAGATTCATCTAATTTTTGTGAAAAAGTGATAAAATAAAAAGTGAACAAAAGTAACATAGAGAACCGAGCAAGAAAGATTTCTTTTTATTTATTGTATTTTAAATTTCTTTTTTGGACATATATGTATATACATTTCTTTTATATCAGCTTTCTCATAATATTGGGTCATCTAAAAAATATCCGCGGTTTTTTCTCACTAGATGTGTGTTTATGGTCATATATCTAGTGATAAAATACCGCGGATACTTTTTAGATGACCCAATATTTTCATAGATATATAATTATATATTGGGTCATCTAAAAAGTATCCGCGGATTTTTGTCACTAGATGTGTGTTGATGGTTATATATCTAGTGACAAAGTACCACGGATACTTTTTAGATGACCCAATAATATTTCTTTATACAAATATATAATTTTAAGTTAATTTAATATTTCTCCTAATTTTTCTATATTTTTCCTTTATTTTTTAATATATTTACAATTTATTTTTATTAATTTTCATAAAGTTTAAATTATTTAATTGCAATATTAAGTTTATTCGCGTCGCATGCTCTAATATGCTCCAATACGTTCCTACAATAGCACTTACTTCAACGAATTCGTTGAATTGCGATGCGAATAAATCTAGTGAGTTTTGCGAGGAATTTTGACAGAGTGAAAAAAGAATGAAAAGAGAAAGAAATTTAGGTGGTAACCGTGACAACGTTGGGTACTTACTTATTTCACGCATGCGCACTCCATTTTGGCCAACATTAATATCAAAGATACCGACAGAGAGTTGCGTTACTGTATATACTGTGCTTTGCACTCAGCAATCTGCACAGTGGCTGGATCACACCTTGAGAAGAACTGGCGCCTGCTATTATTATAATAACGATCTTTCTTTTGCAGAATTTATTTTAGTTAAATTTTAATTATTTCTTTTTTTTATTGAAATATGAATGAAATAGAAAATTTACGACAAAGAGTCATAGAGCTCGAAAACGAGCTGCAAGAAAAGAAAGATAAAAATGTGACATTAACAACAAGGGGAAGGATTGAACATATGTCAGATGAAGTAGTGGATTCGAATCCATATAGGTAAGTTTCAAAATGTTTGTCGTCACTTTTATTATTTTAGTATGTACAAAATTAGACGATTAGGTACGTTATTTTATGTAACTTGTTACCATCACTGATATAATTAGAAGATAATAACATATGCTTTCCAGCGAGTGCCACAGATGACACAGTAACACAGCAAGTAACACATAATCTGTTTTTTGTTCTTGTACTAGACTGCTCTAGAACTTTCTTTCTCGCTTTCGACAAATATTAAACATATATCTATCTCATTTTAAGTTCTAAAAGTGTATATATTGGATCATCTAAAAAGTATCCGCGGTTTTTTGTCACTAGATGGTGTTGACCATCAATACCATAGTTCAGCCACAGAAAACAGACTTACAGTGAATCATTACATCCTTGTTTGCCAATGTTAAATAAGGATGAAATAATCACTGTGTTAACTGTGTTGCTTGTTGGAAAGCACACAGAATGATTTTTTATTTTTTTATAATATTAAAGTAAGATATTAGATTTAAAAATTACATTGACTACATTTTACACGACTCAATTTTCGGCAAAATTACTATACCGATGTTATGAAACTGGCCAATACATACAGTCATTCCATTCTTCAGAGGAATAGCTTGATGATTAACCAGTTTGATATCGATGTTATAAGCTGTGTAAACATAATAATTTAATAATTATTGTTAACTTTTCTTTATATTAAACTTGTCTAATAACTTTTATAATTCTACTTTATATTGATATTTTATTATTCTTTAAAGATTTTCTTTACAAACGCAAATTTTATTAAAAAGTTTTATTAAACATTGTTTATAAATGTTAATGTCATTATTGAGAGTACATTCTAATATTTACTGCCAATATTGAAAGTTTATACTTCACTTATTATCTGTGTGTAATAAATTATACTAACCAAAACTTCTTATAAATCAAAGAACTGGAAAGGATACGGGCAGTAGAAATCAAGCGCAATGTCGCGCAAATAATGTATCTATGTGAAACTTCTTTATTCACTAAAATACGCTTACATGTTTCGGCTCACTTTTGAGCTCTCCTCAGAGACAACACAAACTAACATAAATAAATGGTAAATAAAAATTATCCTGTCATGGTGAGCTCCCCTATCTCGAGAATTTAAATGCCAGAATTAAACCCAAAAAGAGTGAAAGAAAAAGAAAAAAGAAAAATGAACGAAAATAAGAAAATGATGGAGATCGGAATAGAGAATATGAAAAACTAATTTATCAAAAACTTTAAGATTATAATTAATTATCCCAAAAGTAAGAATCCTAAATTTCACCTTGATAATTTGTGTTTCATTATTAAAATATTGTTAGAGAATGATTATTCATTGAACTTTATATTTTAGAATATTAACAATCGTTTGAAGAAAATTATTATGGCTAGTAATAGGAAGAGTGTTGTTAATGATAATAGGGTTGAAGCAGTGCAGCCTTCGTGGTTCACTGTTCCTTTCATTTGTGATATTACTGAGAAGTTAAGCAAGTTGAATAGCAAGCGTGAGGGTATCGTTCTATAGTACTAATAAATTGCGAGAATTCATTAGGGTGCATAAGGATCCTTTACCGCGTGACAAGAAGTTGAATGTTATTTATAAGATCTCGTGTAAGAGTTGCGATGCAAGTTATGTAGGACAGACGTGTAGACAGCTGAGGTCAAGAATCACGGAATATAAGAACCACATCCGATGTGAGAACACCTCTACTAATGTCATAACGGAGCATCGGTTATAAGAGGGCCATAATTTCGATTGGGACAACGTTACAATACTGGACGAGGAGTCTCACTACAGGAAGAGATTGATTTCGAAGATGATATTCATCAGGAGACAGACGCATGGACTCAACTTACAGACGGATATGGAGGGGCTTCGTAAGGCCTACCTCCTGATCATAGACAAGCTACAAAGGTTGTTGTCTAGTCAGTCAGTGTCGTCTGTATGCAGTAATGAGTCTTTCTGACGTGATTTTTGATTACTTTCCAACTTTCATTTTCATGGAATTGATTAGCGTTTTTTAATGTTAAATTTTTTCATTTGTAACCTTGAATAATAGTAGCTAAAACTAAAAGTGACTCACTATCTGACACTGACTAGCCAAAATATCAAGAACCGGTTTTTGAATAATTCATAGTAATGTTTATGATATAGTTTGTGATTTGTGATCAGGTGAGCGTTCTTATTTTTGGAATAATTAATTATAATCTTAAAGTTTTTTGATAAATTAATTTTTCATATTCTTTATTCTGATATTTCCATCATTTCCTCATTTTCATCCATTTTTCTTTTTTCTTTTTTTTTCACTCTTTTTGGGTTTAATTCTGGCATTTAAATTCTCGAGATAGGGGAATTCATCATGACAGGATAATTTTTATTTACAATTTATTTATGTTAGTTTGTGTTGTCTCCGAGGAAGGCTCAAAAGTGAGTCGAAACATGTGTGTTTTAATGAATAAAGAAGTTTCACACTTTATAGATATATTATTTGCGCGATGTCTTCTGCGCTTGACTCCTACTGCTCGTATCCTTTCTAGTTCACATTATTATTATATATACATACTACAGATTTCCAATATTGGTAATGACTCAAAATATAGAATCCAAGGATGCTACTCATAATTCTTTAAGAGCCTTAGCAGAAATCTGACTTATTATCTTAAGACACAGTGTCTTATGACTTAAATCTTATTTTTAGTAATGCATAAGAACTATCTTGTGACTTATGTCTTATGGGCTTTCTACAATAAGCCATAAATCAGAAGTTAGAAACTAGAAATTGCGACTGTAACTGATCAATTTTGAAACTTCTGACTTCTGATTTATGATTAATGACTTATTGTAGAAGGTCCGTTAAAATCGTAAGTCAGTCTTTCTGCTACGGTCCTAAGAATTGAGTATAATTGGTCTAGGACATAAAGTACAACATATTTTTCTCAATATTTAAATTTAAATAAAATGTTTCTATCCAATTTTTTACTAAAAGAAATGTGTAAAAGAGAATTTTCTGAGTTTTATAAATTTGTAATTGTATTTACTTTCTAATATATACTTCTAATATCTTGCAGCCGATTGATGGCATTGAAGCGTATGGGTATCATTGAAAATTATGAAAAAATACGAGAATTAACGATAGCTATAGTTGGAATTGGTGGTGTTGGTAGTGTAACAGCAGAAATGTTGACAAGATGCGGTATTGGAAAGGTGGGAATATGATAATAACATAGATTATGTGTTAAATGAATCATTTAATGTTTTACTATATGTTTCAGTTAATACTGTTTGATTATGATAGTGTAGAACTTGCAAATATGAATAGGTTATTTTTTCAACCATATCAAACAGGCCAGAGTAAAGTAGAGGCTGCAGCAAATACTTTGCTTTACATAAATCCTGATGTGGAAATTGAAATACACAACTATAATATTACGACTGTTAATCATTTTCAAAATTTTATGAATACAATAAGGTATACATACGTTTACAAATAAAATTTTTTTAAATCGATATATGATTTAGTGGTTTTACTTAATTTAAATTATACATTTTTGCAGTAACTCTAGTTTGAAAAATGGTCCAGTCGATTTAGTACTGAGTTGTGTCGATAATTTTGAAGCTCGCATGGCAATAAATACTGCTTGTAATGAACTTAATCAGAAATGGTTTGAAAGTGGCGTATCTGAAAACGCAGTATCTGGTCACATTCAATTTATTGTACCTGGTGAAACAGCTTGTTTTGCAGTAAGACTTCAATTATTCAATAATTAATACCAAACCGTTTATTTTAAGTGATATATTTTTCCACACATAGACCTAAACATATTAGGAGAAAATGTTTCAAATGAAAGTTTTACAATTTTAAGATGTAAGCGACATCGATTGAATCTCAAATGAATAAAATAAAATTAATGTACACTTGAACTTATAGTATTGACTCTTGTAGATATTACATTTTGTTTATAAAGATTATGTTTCACGGGTTTCCTCCATGTCCAGATCCATTCTTGGAATGCCAACGTTTCGTGAACCTTGCCACTTCATCAGGGCGAGGAGCAGCATATATATATATATATAAGACAAATATCTCGAAAAAGACAAAAGTTTTATGGACTGAACGGGGACGAATAATAATACAATTAATTTTTTTTTTTCGAAAAAAATTGATATTTTAAAGGCTATTTAAAAAAAATGAAAAAATATAATTTTTTTTACTTAATATGATTTCTCTAATTATTCTGTACATAAATGTATTAGTTTATTAGTAGTTTATTAGTTTTAATAGTTTAGTCTGACACTGCTGAAACATATTGAAATATATCTAGAATGTCTCAACTATTAATATTTTTTGACAATATTTTTATGCAAAGAATAATGAGCTGAATTAATTGATGTAAAGAAAACACATAGTTGTTTATTATTCAATATTCAAAAGAACACATGTCAGCCGAACCCTTTGGATAATGTCAATAGAACTGTAACTTTAAAGTCTCAATTCGGAAGTACTTAAAAATAATTTCATTATTGTATTTTTAAAAGTTCTCTTTAAGAATATTTAATCAAATGTAAGAATATGTAATAAAAAATGTTTATAATTTTAATGTGATCTAAACAACACTAAAAGGTCATACTAACATTACTTCCTATATAACACACTTATTTAGAATTAGATAGCTTAATTCTATAGCTTTCGTATGAAATATTTTTTTCGAAAATACTTCATTTTTAAGATAATCGAACTGTATCACTTAAAATGAAACCCTATATATTTACAAATTATATATAAAAAAATAATATATCCATCTCTTAAGTAATTATTAGGTAGTTTTCTTAACTTGATTTATTTTTACATCTTATTTTATATTATTCGTGTATAGAAGCATTATGATAAGAAATAAATGCTTGAAGTTAGAATAAAGCTTTTTTTTTCAAAATTTGTTAATTGAATTTGTTAATTCAATAGAAATATTTGTATACCACTTAAAACAAATTGTTGACACATCATAAAAAATCACTCTATAATGCTTTTTAGGCTATCATCTTTAAAGATACCAAAAGGTTTGTGAATTGTTTCCATGTTTTTATCCATTGCTAATGCCAACCATTGCAATTATCCATTGTTTTGTGAACCCTGTCGTTCATTTCATAAGGGCGAAACGTTGACATTAGTAATGAATAAAAACACAGTGATAATCTGCAAACCTTTTGATATTTTTGAAAATCACTATGATTTTTAATTTCATTTAAAAAGATTATTTATATATCTATAATTATTTTATAAAAATTATTCTGCGATTATTTTAATAGTACATTCGAATTTTCAGTGTGCTCCACCTTTGATTGTAGCATCTAGCATTGATGAGAAAACTTTGAAACGTGAAGGAGTATGTGCTGCGTCATTACCTACTACGATGGGTATCGTAGCAGGCTTTTTGGTGCAGAATACTTTAAAGTTTTTATTAAAATTTGGCAAAATATCTCATTATTTAGGTTACAATGCTATGGAAGATTTCTTTCCTACTATGACTTTGCGACCAAATCCAAATTGTGATGATAAATATTGTAAACAAAGGCAAAAAGAATATTTGGCAAAGCCAAAAATCCAACAGAACCAAACTGCTATTATTGAGAAACCTGTACATGAAGATAATGAATGGGGTATATAAAATATACACACGCACGTACGCACACATGTATACATATACAGAGTGTCTCATAAATTTTTGCCAACCGCTTTTGTATAGATAGAGCGGATTAAGTTGAATCGACAAATCCTCTACTATTTTGCAATTTTCATGATTAACGAGATATTAATCACTAAAAATCGATGAATATTGGTTCTTTTCAATAATTTTTCTCATATACTATCAACTTTGCAGAAAAACAGTGAGAGATAAAAATTGTTTATATTCTTTTCATATATATATATATGAGAAGAATTATGTATATATATATATAAAGTTCTGAGAATTTTTTCAGAATTTTTTAATACCGTATTTTCCCATGTTGATAAAAATAAGATGCAATACTAAAAAGTTAATTAAAAACTCTGAAAAAATTCTTAGAGTTTTATGAGAAGAAAATTATTGATTTTTGTCTTTTATAGTTTTTCTGTAAAGTTGATAATATTTGAGTAAAAAATTATTGAAGACCAATATTTGACTATTTTTGTAATCAATATCTCATTAATTATTGAAAAAATTGCAAAATGGTACAGGATTTTTCGACTCAATTTAGTCCGCTCTATCTACACAAAAGTGCTTGGCAAAAAACTTACAAAAGACACCCTGTGTATACAAGGTGGGGCATTTTAATCGCCTTAATCAGATATCTTAGACCCGTATTCAGAACGCACTTACAACAATGTTAGCGCGCTAACATGCTATAATTTATATTACGCATACTATAGATTTTTAGAGATAAAAGCGCATTCGGAATATGAGTCTTAGAAACTAAGAGAGATATATATAAGAAAAAGTTTTATATAAAAGTTGTAGATTTTCTTAAAGAAAAGAAGGTTTTTAAATAGGAACTACTATTTCTTATTGCATATTCTTGTAGCTGAAATCGAGACATTTTCAAAACATTATAATAAAGTAGATAAATTTTTTTCATTAAGCACTTTTCGAGTTACAAAACTTGACAGTTACTGTACTGCTGACATTAGCATGACCCAAGTGTACCACATGGAGGTAATCTGTTGTGTGTAAACATGTATATACATGCGCATGTGCATGTGTAAGAGAAGAGAAGGGGAATCAAAAGTTATATGTATCTGTTCTTGTTTCTATTCATTATTGGACTGATTATATTGTTTCTATTCATTATTGGACTGATGAGACCAGCTCGACTAACATACATTTTCTATGCTTAGCCAATTATCCAAAATAAACAATGTAGACGTAACGGAGATTTCAATCTTTTAGGATGCTTGATTTACATAAGTCTTTATCAATAAAGCATCCCAAACAATCTAAAAGTGTAATTTTTCCTCTCCCACACATACACGTATGCTCAGATACACACAGATTAAATCCGACTGAGTAATCTCCATGACTGAGTAATCTACATCTTGGATAATACTAATGTCAGCAGTACACCAGGTTTTATAACTCGAAAAGTTAACCCCTTCACTTACAATATCGTATGAGACTTATGGTAAGAAAATCAGACCAAACATGAGTAATCACTGGTGAGAGTCGTGAAAATCAATCAGGCTAAACATAAACGATTATGATACGTGCTATTGGAACTTAAATCATAGGGCAAGAGGTTAATGAAAAAATATTTTGTTAGTATTTTGAAAATGTCTCGACTTCAGCTACAAGAATATGCAATAAAAATTAGGTTCCTATTTAAAAAATTTATGTTGATCTTGATCTAACCTTGATAATGCCCCATATAAAATCTGTTATTTCTATCTTCTTTCCCCTAAGAAAATTTGAATTAATCGCATGCATAATTGCACATCAACTCGCACTAGTCCTCAATTTGTAATTACAATTAAAACATCTTATTTACATCTTCGAACAATATTTTTAAATATTTTTCTTAATAGGAATTTGCTTGGTCGATGAACGAAGTGATCATTCCGATGAAAAAGCAAGCATATTGTCAGCTTCAGGTGTGCGACATGCATATACTGTACCAACGCCTACCTATGCAACCAATTCAGAAGAACAAACTATTCCTGAATCTACAGGATTAAGTTTAGAAGAATTAATGGCGGAGATGAAATCAATTTGAAGATAATTCAATGCAGACATTTAAAAAATGTAAACTTCTTTTATATTTGCACAATATATCCTTTTTGTCATAGATATATAAAATTACCTGTTACTTATAATTTATAAAATAATTATTTATATGTTTGTTACAAAATAATTTTTTAATAAAAGTACAATATTTTAATAATGGTAGCAATTTCATATTAATAAAAAGATTATTTAAGATATATAGTACAATATTAATTTTCATGATATAAAATAAAAAATTTTTTGAAATATTTATATATTTTTATATTGATTAGTAGTATTTATTAATTATATTAAAACTTTTATAATAATAGATATTGTATAACAAAATTATATGTCAAATTTTTCAAAACACAGAGATGATCCTTCTTCCTCATAATCTTCTCTTGTCACTAAAAGATTAGGAAATATTGTATCTTCCGAAAGTTTTTTCCCACCAAACCATGCATAAGTAACTGGACTAAAAATTGGAAGAATCTTATTAGTCTTATTAACTTTTCACAAAATAAGAAATAGCAAATGTAATATATACACATATATGTATATATATATATATAGTACTTTTGTGGTAAGTAGACGTTGACAGAATATTCAGCTGGAGCTAAACTTCTAACTTCTTTGTACACTCTGTCTTTAAATCCTGGAAACTTTGTATTACCACCAGTAAGAATAATATTGGATAAAAAATGGGGCCATGTTTCTTCGCTACAAGCTTTTATGGAATCCATAATGGCTTCTGGAATACCCATTTGTCGAATGCCAACATCTGATGGATGAAATAATATTTCTGGTATTGCAAATCTCTCATTAGTCAAACGTAATATTTGCTGCTCGTTGGGTGGCTCAGGGTCTTTAAGATATCCACGTCGAAGAGTTGTATAATCTGGCAAAACATAATCTTTAATAATATTATTCTCTAATTTATATCTGGTTTGTTCCATATCCTTAAAGAAGTCTTGTGATACAAAACAACAATCTTCTTTCACTTGATTAATTACATATGTTTCATCCATAACATGTAGCTGACGGTAAGATATGATTTCTTTCAGATGATTTGTTAAAAGTTTACCACCTACATCTATCCTTCGTATTCCTTCCTTTACTTTTGCATCATTAACATAAGGAATAATGTGTGTAAAACTGTAACCACTATCTACTACTATACAACATTTTGTAGTGGGATATTCCATTCTATAATTATAACACGAAAGACTTGCTGCATTTATTCTTAAGAGACTATGACATTCATATTCCTCAAAGAAGATCTCTGTCATAGCTTCTTGAACACTTGGAAAATTAAATATAGGTTCGGTCACTATCACAGATAACTGATTTAAATTAACCGAACATAAGTCTTTTGAAAACATATAGTCCCATACAGTTTTTTGAATGTCCCAATTAACTAGATAACCTTTCTGAAAAGGTAAAATATAAAATAGTCCAGAGGCGTCCCTGCATTCTTCGATTTGATTTCCAATGAAAGGTCTGCGACGTTCACTCTTTGCTTTCATTATACAATTTGGAACAAATCTAAAATATTTTCATCGATTAATAAGTAAATGCATCACTTTTCAGTCAATCGAAACGTAAGCGTCTCTTTTAAGTAATAGTAGTACTTACTTGGGTGTCTCATTGGCTAAACCAACTTTTGCTGTACAAGCACCATTATCAAGAATAAAAGTAGAATTAGTCATATTTAAAAAAATATATAATAAAGGAGATTTCAAATACAATTTTAATGTAATTGCCAGTAATAAAAAGGGGGCACGTCACACTTCTTATTATTCCCCTGCTTAGTTTTTTGACCCAAGGACCCTAAAAAAGGGTCACAATACCATGCGGCGAATTTGGATCATAGATCCTGTGATAACCTTTGGGGGGAGGGGGGGGGTTAATAGAAGAGAAAAGAAGCGGCACGGTTGTGCGGTTCCTATAGTTACCTAGTTAATTTTTGTACGCGTATCGCGCTAAAAGTCACTAGATCTATAAAGTACCGCAAACTCGCATCCATTTTCATGCGGCCATTTCGAATTTATGCATTTGCATTACGTGTTTTTGGGAAAATAAAGCCATCAAATATGTAAATCAATGTTTTTTAGTTATAATTAGTTTATTTATGAACAAAAAAAAATATGTACGAATGCTCGATTTATGTGTTCTTTAGTTTAATACGGATTTATTTGTCGTAGAAGTTTTGTGCATAAAAGTGCACGAAGAATATGTGTAAGTACAGTTCAGAACTGTTCAGAAATATGAAAGTATACATCACACGTGATCATCGTATGAGCTTGAACATTTTTAAGAGATTATTCGGCCAAGGTAAACATTTGAAAATGTTTCTAAAATGTACGGTTAGGTTAGCTGCACTCAATTGATCCTGGTGTACTTCAAATCGTGTACTATGTGCACTTCGGCCATTTTTACGCGACATTTCTGAAATCAATTGCGGTACTTTATAATCTAGTGACTTTAGATATCATTTTGCGGTTACAGGTTTTGGATCGTCATGTCCTCTTTCTCTCTGGCAGTACTTTATAGATCTAGTTACATTATTCGTCTATACAGCGCTTTTCCGGAACCATGTTTCGAACCCATTTTTTTCGTGACTAGTCGCTTGAGTTTGATCTCCTTCTTATTAGGCCTACAATTAGTCGGGAGACATTGTTGTATGTTGTGCCGTAAGAAATTAACCAATCATGGTCGATTGTTTCTTTCCATGTCGCGACAGTGGACAACCGAATACGCATGCGTTCGACATCCGACGCCGACATACGACGTATTATAGAACAGGCCTTATTCCGTGATCTCGAATCAAGTAGAAAAAAATCGAATCGACAATGAATCGAATTTCTCATAAATCGATTTTTGAGGGCGAAGAAAGATCGATTCTCGATGCATTGAATCGAAATCCGGTATCATTACTTTTAGTCCATGACTATACACTCCTTCTGAGAGGACGCCACTTGAAGTCAGTTCAAGTCATACTTGTGAATACAGCTGTATGTAACTATGTACCCATGATGTACCACGTCTAGAAAAGTCGAAACACCGTCCGCGTTGTACATATATCGCCTTTGTTTGAGGCAACTTGATGATATTTTTGCGTTTCTCTACTTTTATTTGTGAATATATACTTTCTCTTCAATCGAGAAACAAAACGGTTTTCTTTGGATTATTAAAATTGATTAAGGAGTGCGATTGTAGTGATTAACGTGCAACGAACAGGAGCCATTTTTGGTAAGTTCTGAAGGAGACTTGTAACAGAATTCTATGATGAAATCAATTGTCGCATAGTTATACTCTTCGTTCTGTTTTTACTACAAGCTTTTTGCGTTTTTACATGCATGCGAACCGTCTAGGAACTAATGAACGAAGAAAATATTTTTAACAAAAAATGTTGAACATATCGAGCACTCGTACGTTCGACTTATGTTAATTAAATAACTATCGTGTCGAAGGTTCATTGTACATTTTATATCATTGACCAAAGTATCTTTCTTTTCTTGGCGTAAACTCTTATAAGAATAAAGAAAACGAACTCACTATTTTTAGTTGATAAAACGCGCTTATATATGATGGTAAACCGGAGGTATAATCTGGAGGTTACAGTAAGTATATACATAAACCCAATTTTTCATTGCCTGCTTAACTTATGATTGACATCCAATGAGCTTCACCCATGACATCATCACAGATGAAGCCCATTGGATAAAATATTGGGTCAAGCCTAATTACAAGTTAATCAGAAAATGAAAAACTGGGCCGAAAATAATGTAGTGAGTACTCCATTTAGACATAAGTCGACAATAAGTATCATTTTATTTTTCTTGACATTTATTAAGTAACAAAGGCTGTTTTTTTTGTTTCGAGGAAACAATCGACCCAAGTATCAGTTTTATCTTTGTAAATCATTGGTTTAGCTGTGTTTAGCAGAAAAAGTAGTTTTGCAACTGCTGTGTTTAGCAGAAAAAGTAGTTTTGCAACTGTTATAAAATTCTTTAATGTGATTGGTGCTGCCCTTAGTTTTTTATTGAATCTAAATATATAAACTAATCATATATTCAAGAATTTTGGAAGAAGAATAGAATGATTTTATGTCGAGTGTGTGTCTCATAGACATTGTGGGACTTTTTAAAGAGTTTTATCGACAGTTGCCGCTATCATTAACTAATGCCAGCCACTAATGATAGCTGCACCTTCTTCTAGGGCCCCTATTCTGTAATGTTTTACATACGCCTACCGACAGTTACGAGAATAAGGGCCTATCCTGACCTATAAGGATTATCCTGTCATTGGCTGTCGCTGGCTAATGATAATGACAATCATCAATAAGACGTTTAGAAAATCCTGCTACTGATTTTTTAATTATTTGATTAATTTGTGGTTTAGACTTGCAGCGTGTTTGCGATTTGCTGACTCAAATTTATCTTTTTTAGTTTTATTTCTTATACAGTTTAGCTCTTCTTTTTCAGATAAAAAGAATAGATCATTGACTAGTAGTTGGGTCTAGTCAGAGTAAATTGACACTAAGCATAAAGATTACGTTCTGTTATATATTGCCAGTACTCAAAATCTATTTGTGCATGTAACATGTACTGTAAATTTTCAGTACTGTCAGTGAATATTAGAATGCTGTGACACACAATACTTGTTTTCCTGCTGGATTGCTTGCCCATTTGGAAATTATATTTGGATATTGAAAAGGGTGCGATCTATAGTGGAATAACTTATTAAGAGTGAAATAACACAGTACGGAAAACGATTGCGGAATAGAGAATGCGTAATAGAAACAACAATCAAAGATATTCTACATTATTCTGAATAGCGCTAATTGGTTGCTTCTATGACGCATTCTCTATTTCGCAATTGTTTTTCGCCTTGTGATTTCACCCTAAGACATAAGGAATTCATTAAGAAAACAAGCATCATGAGCATGCCATAGGTTTTAATCTCACTTAACTCGATGGTAATAACTGTGTTCTATTTGATGCTCACAGTTCTTGTGAGCATCATTTGTCCTTGTTTAACATTATAATAATTAACAAGGATGAAATGATTTCAAGAGC